TGTTGAAATGTTTAAATCATGCTGATAACGACATCATTATATAAATACTATGGTTTCTATAAAGAATTGTTGTTTTTAACTCCTTTTATATTTATCTGTATTTCGAATTTAATTTATAACTTTTTGAAAATATTTTACTGCATTAATAATTGCTGACAATTAATAATTGCAGTAATTTGTTTTCTGTCAAATGCATCCAGTGAATATTAAAAGATATTTTAATGTATATTGCTTTAGATTAAAATAATAGAATATAAAATTTATTGGGTATATAAATATTTATTCCGTTTACATAAAAGTCACAAATAAAAATTAATTATACATACCTGAAAAGATGCATTATTCCTTTTCTTTGGAGCACGTGAGTAATTGTTAATTATGATTTTAGACATATATGTCAACTCAGTCATGTGTTTCTTTATATCTGTTGTAAAAATTCTGTGCTATAAAAATAAGAGACTAATAAAAATATAAATACTAATAAAATGTATATTTAAGATAATTTTAAAAATATTTTAAAATAAATTATTATTAGTTTAATAAATTATATTCTATTGGATACAAGAATACAATTATTTTTCTTTCTGATAAATAATAAAAAATATAATATAATAGATTATATTTATTTTATATGTTAAAATGGCGACAAACACAAGGTAAAGTGTATTAAAATTATTAGAAAAAAAATAATGCGCGAAAAAAAATAATTCTAATAATAGATTATTATTAGCAAAATGTATATGTAAAAGAATAATAAATCATTGAAATTTTTTTGTGGTTAAAATATTCTTATTTCTTAATATGTTATTATGGTTAGTATTCCTTTTACATATGTTAACAATTAAAAAAGAATGGCACGTTAATGCGTATTTTACTCACAAATGCATTACATTTGTGAGTAAAATACGTATATAGATAATAAAGACTAAGGAGACAATATATTATGTATCACACATCTTTAAAGATATCTTTAAAAATTAAATATTTTTTAACAAATTATAAAAGTACTATACGGCGTCAGCAGGTCATAGCGAGTAATCACGCTAATGTGTTTTTTATAATTTTTTTAAATTAAATCCTGAATCTAAATACAGAAGAAATGTGATTTTGTGAACGTTTGTGAAATATTATGCTTATCTATAGAATTACTATAGAATTACTATAAAATTTTTTATTTAATTGTGATATATACAAACATTACGTTCATTTAGTTTTATTTAGTTTCTACTTTTTATAACTTTTGTTATAAATCATTGAAATATCATTGCCGAACGTAATTTATGATATTTATGCAAAAATAATATAACATACAACTTATTAAGCTTTAACATTTAACTTTTAATAAAAAAATGAAAATAAATTATAAACTGTTGCTCATAAAAGCGCATTATTTTTTTTTATGGCATGTAAGTAAGTAATGATAATGATAATATAGAACATCTTATTAAAAAAAAATCTAATTTTAAAGATAAATGTAGATATAACTAATTCAGTCTCACATTTCTATTATAAGAATATATATACATCACAAATTTAATTTAAAAGTATGTATCAGACAATAATTTAAATAGGTATTACAATTAAATTATAATCAGTTATTATTGAATTACATTATTAAATATAATATACTACAATAAAATGATAGTTATTCTTCTATTTTAGCTGGAGGACCTACTTTACCATTTCTACAGGTGCACGGCAAACAACTTGGTATTTCACCATTAATCATCGGTAGTATATTTGCCATAGTGCCTTTGCTATATCTGATAGCAAAACCAATATTTGGTTTCATCATAGACTATTTTCAAGCATGGAAGAAAAGTTTTATAGTATTGTTCGTCATAACACACAGCTGTTATGTCGGTATATTTTTTTTACCGGCATTGCCAGGTGCAATAATGTCATCAGATCATTTTGAAAATGTTTCGTATGCACTTTTACCACATTGTGATAAGGAACATGTAGGTGTTTATCTTTTCGCAATTGAGTATATTTTTGATAAAATGTTAATTGTTAGATATGTCCATAATACTATTTTGTATAAAAATTAATTTATATAAATTCATGAATTAATTTTTATATTATCTTTTGTATTTAAAAAAATTATACAATTTTTTGTAAAATATATTAAATGTTATATATTAAATTAAAATATAATATCTTAATAAATGTATTATATTATTATATTATTACTATTATATTATTATATTATTACTAAAAGTTTTGCGTATTATATTATTACTGAAAATTTTGCTAACTAACTTCTAAAAGTATGAGTAACATTTTGGATAACAATAATATTAAATTTCTCTTTGCAAAAGTCTTTCAATTTTTTAAAAATTAATTATTTATTTTTCATTTAAGCACGCATCAGAAATCGCATTGTGTAATGGTATAAAAGATACCAATTGTAATTGGATATGCGAAAATACGAATTTTTCCACACGATTATCTTTTTATGCAACGGAAAGAAAAACAATTATGTCACTAGATACCGCATGTTTAATAAATGTGAACGATATATCATTCCGTCAAGAAAATATAACACAAATGATAATTGCAACGTTACTTGTGACAATTTTGAAGATAATCATTGTTTGTATACATCTATCATATTTTGGAGTTTTGTCCTCTTAATATCTCTCGGCAATATTTGCATGCACTTTTACATGCTCGTAAGCGATGGGATTTGCCTTGCCATATTAGGTATGTGATTTAAATATAGATACATATTACAGCTAAGTAAAATATGAAAATTTACATTATATATAATAAGTTTAACTAGTAACTATAGTAACTAATTTTACACAATTTTGTGCAATAATATCATGTAAAAAAATAGAATACCTTTTTTTAACAAAATCTTTCTTTTCAGGACAAAATGAACGGTTAAAGTATGGTATGCAACGAGTATGGGGTACAATAGGTTACGGTCTAACAGCATGTATAAGTGGATACGTGATAAGTTTATGGCCACAGGAGGAGACTTATAAAACTTACACTTTTGTATCTCTTTTTGCATTTATATTGGTTTCTATCGAATTGGTCTGCTGTAGTAAATTGAAGGTGAGTGTTCTATGCATTACAAAAATAGACTTGACAGCATATAGTTTCTGTACTTTGTTCTTACATGTTCTTTTTATGATTTTAAATTTTTATTTTAAATTTCATTCTAAATTTATATTTTTATTAAATTGTATGTTTTGACAATAGGCATCATTAGAACCAGGATCAACCACTGTGAAGGATGTATTTGCGCTATTGAAATTAAAATTTGTCGTCATATTTCTATGCTTTACTGCATTTAGTGGCATCCTTCATGGCGTCACGTTTAATTTTTTATTTTGGTACTTTATTTTTGTCTCAATGGGTGACATTACATTTTCTCTTGTTTATTATTGGAATGTAAGAAGCCAATGTAAGAAGTCATTATAATTAATTGAACTCAACGTTTATTATGTTTGATTAGGTATCTAGAAGATCTTGCTAATGCGACTGGTTATACGGACAAAATCAAATTGACAGAAGGTTTACTCGTGGCAGCTCAGAATTGCGGTGAAATATTATGCTTCTTTCTATCTGGTAACATTGATTATTTTTTTATTTCACTTTTACATATAATATTATACATATAATATATCACGTTTTATACAAGTAGAAATGTTTTTTTTTTTTTAATAAATTATAATAATGTGAGATTTTTCTTTGTAGGTAAAATACTGAAAAAGTTTGGATATGGTTACACTTTTACATTTTCTTTTATATGCTACGCCCTCCGGCTTGGATTAATATCTTTAGCTCCGATGCCATGGTGGATACTTCTCATAGAATTTTTCATGAATGGGTTATCATTTGCAGTATGTTTAGCAACAATAGTAGCGTACGCAAATATTATAACACCACCCGGTGCAACAGTTACTGTCCAAGGAGTTGTTCAAGGCGTGTATGATGGTTTAGGCAAGATCCTTTCACATATTTACCACAAGATATATTTAAAAAAAAGACTTTGCACATGCAAATAATTTGTAATTCTAATAAATATCTTTGTTATTAATCAGTTATAATGGCTATGAAATATTGTAGCATTTCTAACTTTTAGGACACTCAATTGGTAGTTTATTAGGAGGTATCCTTTATAAGAAATTTGGTGGTACAATAACTTTAAGAATATTTTCAATATTCGCCGCGCTTTCTGCATTAACTTATCTTATTCTTCATATATCGTATTTAAAGAATAAAACTGGTAAGAAATAAAATAATATGTAGGAAATAATTTTGCTTCTATAAATATATATCTTTCGAGAATATTAAAAAAAAATAAGGGATCTTCTTTTTATTCTAGAAACACGAAGTAATGTTGAATGGAAGAAACCTGATGATGCATTGAAACATTGTGTTGTAGCAAATATATGATTTATATTTTCTTAATTGGAAATATGGTTTAGTTTATTAGTGAATGATATAGCAGGAGAAAAAGCATACAGTATATAATAATGATTTAATATGATGTGTTAGATGTAATGATGCTGAGCTTTTGTGATCAGGCAGATAACATATTTCATACAATTAATTCGATTAAGTCTCTCTTATGATTTCTTCTATATCACGATTTGTCTAAGATTTATTTATGATTTATTGCTCTTTACGATGTTGCAACAGCTTACATTAGACGACTTGTCGGATGCTGGCGAATTTCACGTTGGAGTTATATCAGCTTGGGAAAGGGGAAGTATGCAAATAACAACATATTATACAAACATTATTATACAAACGAAACGATCCAGTGATCTTGCAGCACCCTGATATTAAGAAACACAAGACTTACCATCTTCGAAATTTTATGTACCCATTATTCTATCTAGAAGATATAACAATCATAAACACGATTCGAGATTGCTCGAAGAATCATATATCGATAAGAAAATATGTCTACATAATCTTTTTTGTAAATAATAAAAAAATAGATCATATAATAGATCATATTTTATATATTAAAACAGAAAAAACACAATGTAAAGAATATTAGACTTGTTTGAACAAATGTATGTAAAAGAACAGTACATCATTGAAATATTTTCACAATTCTTACAATTGTTAGTTTAATTTCTAAATATAAAGATATTATTATGAAAATATTCCTTCTGTATGTATTGACGAGTTAAAAAAAATGGCTCTTTTTAGACTCACAAATGCATCACATTTGTATAGATAATAAAAGACAATAATATATTATGTATTAATACTAAACATATTATGCATAAATATTAATTATATTTTAAGCCTGATGATACACGAAAACACTATGTTATAGCAGATAATTAATGTTGTTTTAATGTTTTGTCTAATAGTTTATATCACACATTTCAATCAACCTTTGTTTATGACACAAATTTCATTTAATGACTCGATATTATCATTATAGCATATGCAATTTTATTTATGCTAATAACATAAATGCTTTATATAATAATCACTGCATTGTGTAAACATTTGAAATTTGTAATAGATTTTTAGTAAAGTAAAAGTTTAAAGTGTAAATTTAACTAAATAAAAAGGCTAAAGTATCAATATTTTACAATTATTTTAATGTATACCACACCACCATCAACAATCACAGTACGTAATGACTATGATTATATATGTAATTTTGTTACATGAAATCAGTTGTTTAAACGTAATGAAAAAAAAATGTCGGTGTCGTATACATTAAAATAATTGTAAAATATTGATACTTTACTCTTTTTATTTAATTAAATTTGCTACTGTTCGTGTTTCTCGTTGGATTTGATTAAAATGGAAATATATTTCGTTATATATTTACATATATAACGTTATATATTTTTACCTGTTTTTACTGCAAAGTAAATTATGAAAATTAATTAGAAACAATTACTAATAAAAACGCATTATTGTCTTTTATACAACATTTAATATAACGAGTGGGTATCCGCACATACCTTGAACATGTATTTTGTAACAAACTATTAATTTAATTTAAAAATATGTGTGTTTCCAGTATTTTACATATTAAATATAAACATAATTATATAACATATTGGAATAATGATATTAAACATATGTAAACGTAATTATAATAATTAGTAATTTAGCAGTGTATTTAGCAGTATTTTTTTTCGTTTCTATTGCTTCATGACAAACAATTTAGTATTTTATCATTCGCTATGGGTTGTATCACCGACATCTTGCATATTTTTTCCACAATAACGAAAACAACATTCGGTTTTGGACTATTTTCGCTTTGAAAAATACTCTTGATAACATCAATTGATTTAACAAATACTATTTTATCTTGACCTTGCTTTTATCTAGTACAACTTTCGATGCTATCAAATCAACAGTTTCATAATGTGTCCTATGAATTTCTATTACCTTGCAATATAAATTATGTAAATTTCCTTTATAGACGCGTATTTTCTTATTAAAATAAAAAAAAATTCTCATGATATTTGTTTTTGCTTTTTAAAATTTTAGTGTTTTTCAATACTAAATCTATAAGGATAATAGGATTATTAATATTTTTCATTAAAAATGTAATTTTAAAGAATTATTTTTTATTTAAGCATACTTTAGCAATGGCATCATATAACAACACATCAGTGTAGCGTAATAATAGTGCAGCAAATCACCACATGTCATTGGATTTCCAAAAATGTAAACTTTTTAACATTCTGGCACAGATTATTAGTTACCTTTTTTCGACAAATTATAATAATTAATATATAATAATGTATTCTAACGTAATAACTGCGTCTCTAATATTATTAGAGACTTTTTTAATCTCTATGCAATATTGCATTTTTATCATAAGACAAACAACAAAACTGTTATTACTTAAATACAGAATCTTTTAATGCCATTAGATGTTTTATAATATGACTTTTTAACAATGTAAAAATTTAATTTTTATTAAAATAAATCTTATTGTAATTTAATACATAATAGTATAAAATTAATGTGAATAATATCTCTTGAATATATAAAATCTTTGAAATTTTCTTTATGAGAAATTCTATATTGATGACAATTTTATTTAATATCTGTATATATAAGTATATAAAACTATTTATGTATGACATTTTTTTGAAGAACTTTATGTTTAATTTATTAGAATTACAAATGCACTCTATTTATAAACAAATTTGTAACAAAGAATAATAACATGATACATATCAATCATGCATTTTTAAAATATTTTTAGTAGATATATACAAACGCTTCACGAGACGTCGATTAGTCATAGCGAATACTACATGTGTTTTTTAGAGTTTTATTAAATTAAATTTTATAAACTAAATTTAAATACAATGAAAAAAGTGTTGATCTTATGAACGTTAGATGTTAGTGAAATATTATGCTTTTGATTATCTAAAGAATTTATTTTATTTAGTTGTGATATATAAATATTAAACTTTATTTTTTATATTTTTTGTTATAATCATTAAAGTATGAAGATAAATTGTTTTCTGAATTTCTGAATTTTTATATCATTGCAGAACATTAATAAATTTAACGTTTTTATGCGTTACGTTACAGACTATAAATAAAATAGTAAGACATAGACTTATTAAACGTCAACATTTAACTTTACTTCAATATAAATCATGAAAGTTAATAATAAACTGCTGCCTATAAAACTCCATTATTTCTTTTTCTTAGCTAGTAAGTATTACTTATACTAACTATATAACATTTTATTTAAAAATGTAAAAAATTTAATATAAATAAATAAATCTTATTTCCAATATGAAGATATCTATATTATAGATATAGATTTTAATTGAGAGATATGTATTACACAACAATGTAAATAGATATTAAACTTAAATTGGTATCAGTCGTTAGTAAATAATACGATTAAATGTGTAAATTTATAATTATTCTTTTTATTCTAGGTTTAGGTTGCACTTTTCCATTTCTACATGTTTATGGAAAACAACTTGGCCTTTCACCATTAGTTATAGGTAGCATATCTGCTATTGTGCCTTTATTATATCTGATAACAAAACCAATATTTGGTTTCATCATGGATTATTCTCGAGCATGGAGAAAAACGATCTGTATAATATTTATTGTCATGACAAATAGCTGCTTTGTGGGGATATTCTTTTTACCGGCAATGCCAGGTCCAGTACTGACAGATCATTTTGAAAATGTTTCGTATCCATTTTTATCGCTTTGTGACATAGAACATGATGTAAGCCTTTTTACAATCGTATATCTTTGATAAAATGTTAAATGTGTTTGTAAGATATGTGTAATGCTATTTTGTAGCAAAATCAATTTATAAATTTGTAAATCAATTTTTATATATATATTTTATATTTATAAAATTATGTTTTTGTAAAACATATGCGTAAATTAAAATACATTTTAAATAAATGCAATGTCAACTAAAAATATATATAAAATAATATATTTTCCATAATAATAATGTTAAATTATTAGTTTCATTTAGCAAAAACTGTACTCAATGTTTTTTAATCGTAATTTATTCTTTATTTAAGCATACATCAGCAATCGAATCGGATAACAGTGTGAAAGATATCACGTGTTATTGGTTATGCAAGGACACGAATTTTTCCACACGATTATTTTTTCGTAACGCAACCGAAAGGAAAACAATTATTTCATTGGATACTGCGTGTTTGATAAATGTCAACGATACATCATTCCATCATGAAAATATAACAGCAAATTATAATTGCAACGTTACCTGTGACAATTTTGAAAATAATTATTGTATATGGACATCTATCACGTTCTGGAGTTACATGCTCTTACTGTTTCTTGGCGAGACTGGTTATTTCGTTGTCATGATCATAAACGATGCAACTTGCTTTGCCATATTAAGTATGCGATTTAAGAATGTACATGTCTTACAGTTAAATGCCCAAATATAACAATTTAAAATATACATAATAAAATAATTTCACAGCTTTATGTAATAAAGTTGTCTAAAAAATAAATGGATCTTTTTTTCCAATAAAATTTTCCTCTTTAGGTGAAAATAAACGGTTAAAGTATGGTGAGCAGCGATTATGGGGTACAATAGCTTTTGGTATTACAGGATGTATAGTTGGATACATGGTAAACTTGTCACAGAGGGAGGCCTATAAAACTTTCACTCCCGTGCTTTATCTTATACTCGTATTGACTGGTATCGATTTGGTTTGTTGCAAAAGCTTGAAGGTGGGTTTTGCATTGGAAAAGCGAATGTAAACTAAATCGATAGTGTATAATTTCGTTCTTAAATCTTTATTATTCTAAATATACATTTTTGTTGTAAATTGTGACAAAACGTGTTTGTTTTGTTTTTCAGATGTCATTTGAATCAGGATCGTCAACTATAATAAAGGATGTATTTGCGCTTTTGAAATTAAAATCTGTCGTTATATTTCTGTTTTTTGCTGTATTTACCGGCATTATTAATAGCTTCATGCATAATTTTTTGTTTTGGTAAATTTTTGTCTCAATGAACAGCATTACATTTTTTGTTTTTTCTATATAAAATATAAAAAGTCAAATATAATTAATTATGCTAAATATTTATTATATGTAATTTTTTTTTTCTTTAGGTATTTAGAAGATTTTGCTGATGCGACTGGTTACATGAGTAAAATCAAATTGATAGAAGGTTTAATCGTAGGAGTTCAGAATTTCGGCGAAACGGTATCCTTCTTTCTATCCGGTAACATTATTTCTTTATTTCAATTTTATACATATATTATGTTTTATATAATAAAAAATATCTTTTTGGTTAATACTACATTGTGAGATTTTTTTCCAGGCAAAATTGTGAAGAAGATTGGATATGGTCATACTTTTACACTTTGTTTTATATGTTACGCGCTTCGGTTGGGATTAATATCTTTAGTTCCGACGCCATGGTGGATACTTCCTATAGAATTTTTCATGCATGGGCTATCATTTTCGCTCTGCTTAGCAACAATAGTATCGTACGCAAGTGTTATAACACCACCCGGTGCATCAGCTACAGTCCAAGCAATCGTTCAAAGCATGCATGACAGTTTTGGTAACGACTTTTTTCGAAAGTTTCTTTCAATTTATAGATTTTGAGAACTATGTCCAATCTCTTTGTAACCAAAAAACTTGATACACGCAAATAATTTGTAATAACAATACATTATATATCTTTGCAATCAATCAGATATGATGGTTATGACATGTTATAACATTTCTTAATTTCTAGGGGTTTCAATTGGTGCTTTATTAGGAGGCATCTTTTATAAGAAATATGGTGGTACGACAACTCTAAGAATATTTTCAGTATTCGCAGCGTTTGATGCATTAACATATTTTATTCTTTACATTATTTATCTGAGAAATAAGACATGTAAGAAATATAATTTTTTAATATACAATATATCTTTTCTAAAATATTGTAAGAGAACAAAACATTTTTTTCTTTATTATAGATACACGAAGTAATGTTAAATGGAAAAAGCCTGACGATGCGCAGGAATATTGTATGGGAGCTGAAGGATAATATGTATTTTCTTCTTTTTATATTCTTTTGATGTAATATACATCTTCTTTATTTATTTAATGTAATGAGAAATTAATTTTTATTTTTATATAAAGATAAAAATAACTAAGTGGAACTAAATGAATGTAAAATATATGTACCTTTTTACACTCGAAAGACTTTTAATTATTCACTATACAATGATGAATGTTAATAGGATTGAAATGCGACTTAAAAATAAATATTGCAAGCTAAATACATTGTAATTCTAAATGCATTGTAATTTCTGCGTTACGCATCGTTATCTTATTCTTATGTACCGGTTATCTCATTCTTATCGAAAATAACGATGTTTTTAAACACAAATTTTTAACAGAAAAGTATTCAGTTTTACAATGTATTACTATTCTCACGGTTCTTCAAAACAATATTTGAAATTATTTATTATAATAATAATATTCAAGAATCAAATACTATAGTGAAAACTAAATTGATATTGCAAGTAAACCATTAAATTTTATTGAGCAACAATTAGAAATATAACGGACATTATAAAAAATTATAAATTTTAAATACATATAATGATAATGTAAAGAAGATCGTTTTGTGTAATAATGTTATAAAATGATATGTTATGTTTACCTACTTATCGACTTATCACAAGTTATTAAACTATCGTTATTGCAACTAGCGTTATTCAAATAACTGATGCATTGTTAATAAAAACTGCAGTTTTATTTGTTCATTCTTCAAAGAAAAGTCTAGTGTCAATATTTAAATACGGCATATTGCTACGAAAAATATTTATTTAATGAATATTAAAAGAAGAATAAAGAATTTTTTATAAAATTCTTGCGCATTAGTATTTTAAAATAATTTCATATTTATATTTATCATTATTAGTTCAGAACGTTAACTTAATACGTTTTTACAAGTGAATAGAAAAGTTTATAAATATATTATCTTCTATGTGTTGTTATTTAAATATGAAAATTAATTATTCCCAACTGCCTATAAAGGCACATTACTTTTTCTTTATGGCAGGTGAGTAATCATTATAACATCTTATAATAAGATCTGTTAATTTATTCGATTTTAAAATTTTTAGATGTATCTTTTATAAAAAATATATCATAAAAAGCTACATATATAAAACTATTTATAATGTCAAAAATTATAAAAACATTAAACAAATCACATATGTATTAATACTTTAATAAATTTATATTATTAAGCAAATATAGAATGTTTTCTTTATTTTAGCCATGGGTCCCATCGTGCCATATTTGTCAGTTTATGGCAAGCAACTTGGTGTATCATCAGTAGTTATAGGTAGCATCGTCGCAATTTTGCCTATTGCATATTTGATCGCTACAATAATATTTGGTTACATCGCGGATTACTTTAATACCTGGAGAAAAGCGATCTTTGTGACTATTCTCGTCTTAACAACTGTATTTTACATTTTTTTATACTTTTTACCGTCTATACCAGAACCAATATTATCAGATCATCCATTTCAAAATGTCTCCTGCGAATCTTTGCAACCGTGCGATGAAAGTTACGTAAGTTAATATTTACTTATAATTGTTTATTTTATCTTTATATATATTAGAGATTTGATATGTAATTCATTCCAAAAATGTATTTCAAAAGATTTTAAATTTATTATTAAATTTTTACTAATGCCTGATTAATGTATAAAATGTATTTTTAATTTTATATTTAAAAGCATTATTTATTTCTTATTCAAGTATGCCTCAAAAGTCGCATCGTGTAACGATACGAAAATACTATATGTCATTGGATGTGCAAGGATACAAATTTTTCCACACGATTATCTTTTCATGCAATCGAAAAAGAAGCAATTATTTCATC